CAGAGCCCTGTTCAAATTGCTGTGACGTATTCTCAACTCCCCCCCCCTTATGACCTCCTCTCTTCTGTTGCCCCTCCTATATATTACTCTATAAATGTTGCTCTGAATTGAATATATGTAAATGTCCTCCCATTGTCTGATTGTTCTAATAGGCCTAATGTTGCTTTTCCTGTTCGATTTTACTCCATGCGATTCTTTCCCCCGTCTGACTTGGATAGTGTGATGTTAACATCAGTCCTGTCTTGTTTTACAGCTTCTTTCGCCAACTGTCCACCTTATCATTTCTTACAATGCCTGTAGTGCTGGAACCCAAATGAATGTCATTTTAGCCCTGCATAACCACCCATGAATGTCTAAGTATTGTTTCATACGTTAAGTCTGGGCCAGATGATGCTGTTTGAATACTAAAGCACTCACTGAGTAACTGCATTTCAGCTCTAGACATAGAAATGGCACACAACTCTACTGTTAACACGTTCAGGAAATAGGACATTCTCCTACTTCCTTCAAGAGTGTGGGATCCAGGGAAGTTCCCGCATTAACATTATCCTAAATATGTTTAAATAATCTGTGTATCTGAAACATATTATAGACCTCCTAGTTATTCTTCACTATAGTTTTATAATTTTTCCCAAAACACAAGCTTTTTGCAATGAACAAAAATAAAAATAAACAGAGGTTAAAGAATAAATTAAATTCCTCACTGCATGGCAGGTTTTAAAATCAACTTTGATGTTTTGTGGTTTGTGTAAAAAAAAAATAAAGTTCCTCCATCTTTATAAAAAACAGCTTTATTTGTTCCCAAGGACACTTTTATTTTTGAACAACAAGTAGGCCAACATACAATTACAATCCACTTACAAATGCAAGATGTAATGTTCAGGAGTTGCATTAGTCTGTTCTTCTAATGCACTCAAAGTGGCTTCAGTCATGATATTGGACTGGCATTAAAAAGCCTTTTCTAAATCCAAAATATATTGATGTGGTCTTGATAATCAGTATCCAGAGCAACAATATATCACACACACACGCACACGCACACGCGCACACACACACACACACACACACACACACACACACGCACACACACACACACAGCTCTTCCTCTTTTTCAATGGAATTTAGTTTTCTGTGTTTCCCACACCAAATGATAATCTTTTCTGACGCCTCCACTTTGCTCTTCGGTTTTTAAACCAAACCTTTCAACAGAAAGAAAATTATGTTTTTTTATTTGTTTCTTTTGTCATGACATACGTACTAATGATACTTGGCACCTTATGTATTCTAATTTGAACAGACATACAACGGCATTGTGCATCATAATCAGCTCAGACATTTAATTTCAACAATACAGAGAGAAGATTGGATTTAATCTAGAAGCTTTTAATGTCAAATGATGTATTTATACTTGCATACATATTTTTGTAGATCAAGTCTTCTCGAGATGAAGTGGCTGAATGTGACAGTATTCTTACCTCTACTCTTTCTTCTCTTAGGTGAGTTTGTTGTGCTAGTCTCTCCCTCGTGTTCACATCTGGATACTGATTCTGCAGGAACAGCTCCTCCAGTGCGTCCAGCTGCTCCTCTGTGAAAATAGTGCGATGTCTCCGGGTTCTCCTCTGCACCTGACCAGGTCCCGCTGACATCTCGTCTCTGTGAGCATCTCCAAGCCTGCAGGGGTCTGTGAGCATCGCTGGGGGCCATCCGTACTGACAGGCTGCAGGGAGGGAGGAGATCTGAAGTGAGCATAACTGAAGTATAAGTCAGCTAACAACGGGTCTCCAGATAGGTTATGTTCTTACCTTCATGGACGAAATCCGTCTGGAAAATGTCTCCACAGTGGGAGCAGCAGCAGCAGCACATGCAGGCATGATGAACAGTCTCTGTCTGGCCTCCAACAGCACACAGCGCCTTCTCTTTTAATCCAGTTGTCCCACATGACCGCCTGTCTCCATGACTGTTTGGATATTTGCTCAGTATGTTCTCAATAGTGAAAGGAAACTTTTGTCTTTCCATTCTAATCAGTCCATCCATCTCCAAAGGAATCCCAAGAAAACCAAAACAGTGAAAATCACAAGATATCGACTAGAACCCTTTCTGGTAGTTAAGGCTCGCTTGCTCTTCTGCTTCTCTGCTCTCCACAACATCGGTCAGGCCCTTATAGTGAAATTGGGAGGCACAAAAAAAAAAAGTAAAACCATAATCCCCCCCGATGGACCAGACACATAAAACGGTTGAAACTTAATTCCTAGCTAATCTGGGCAGTTTTGTGAAGAGGTTAGGGAGGACAGCAGATTCCGTTAATCTTGCCTCATTCCTTTTCTCCCAAAGAAATCAGATTTCAGTGCATAAAATGAGAAGTGGAGAGCTCCTTAGATCCTCATTGTTGAGGTTTTAGAGAAAAGGGGATTGCCTGGTATTAGAAAACCTGGATTTAAAGATGAACTTTTTTTTTTTTTTTTGGTGTGGCCAGAGAGTTGTGCATGCTGAATTTGAGGCTTAGCTGTTAAATTTGCTTCATTTCACTTTCCTATTTTTCTTGATAAACAAACGATCACAAGCAGAGTCAGCATTCACTGACAACAACAATACTTTTGATTACACACAACAATAAGGCAGATGAATGAATCTTGCAAGTGACATGTGTTTGTGACACTGATAGAATTGTGTATTACGCCAAACAAATTGCAAGAACAGGCACAGAGAAATGGCCGCTGCATGTGGTTTTGTATTCCCAATCATACATCGTGCTTCTTATCTGTGCGCTGCAGTATTTCACAGCAGAGGTAAAGCTATTACAGGTTAAATTCAAACCCCCTCCTCAACAAATCCTGTGATTTCATACAACGCAATACACCTTTTTTTCCCCTCCTGTCAGAGAATTAATGGATTTCCACAATCTGTCTTAAGCTCCTCTTATAAGGGCTTTTGAAAACAGATAACAATAAACACCATCCCATCCTTTTCACCTGGGTTTAATAGCAGCCAGATTGTTGATGTATAGTTTGTGGAGCATGTGAGATCGCTATCTGCTCTCATTGTAGTTCTCAATGGATGGAATTGTAGCACATCCACACTGGTTCAAGCAGTTCAAATTTCATTACTGGGGATTAGAATGATAAAGGTTCATTTTGTTGTTGTAAGAGAAATATTTGGTATCAGAGGGGAAGTGGGAAAAAAGCCTCAAAAGCCAAAAGAGTTTGGTGTAGATTGTTGGGGAGACAGACCCCTCACTGTTTCACTTTCAACTGGAAATGTTACGGTATCAAACATGTCATGCTCACATTACTCACTATGCATAAACAAAGACCAACACAATTTGACAAAGATTAAGTGGTATAAAAATATTGAATTTCTTTCCATTTTTTAAAAGGTTTTTATAGGTTTATAGAATTTAAACACAAAGTAAAAGTTGAAAGATTTTTAGATTTTGAAGTTACTTTGCTGCCTTACTTTTGTAATGCCAGATTTTGAATCTGGGAGATATTATACAGCTGTGATGCAGAGTTTGTGGCCAGATGCTGCTGAAATATGATATCTGTGTCTGTAACACTGACTAATGTACCCTTATAGACCCGTGCCTTAGGATGTGATTTCATAAAAAAAACAGGTCTGTGGGAGTAAATAACATGTGTACAGTTCAAACAGAAGACATTAGAATTCAAACACAGCCACACAGTGAGTGTTGATGAACAACAGAAGAATCCACAAGTCATCAGACTATTCATGCAAGAAAAGCTCAGTGTCTCTGTTCACTGCTGGACCAGGGCCCAAAGCCCCCTGGGAATTTGGAGATTGCAGCTCTGACCAGAACACACAGAGGAGCAACCTTCCTCTCTGTGTTTTCTCCAGCTTGTGCAGGGAAACTTAATAAACTGTTGAGGGCAATCAAAAACCCTGGAGACCAGGGGGAAATCAAGACAACCACCATGTGGTTTCAGAATCTCCTTATCTAATTTCTGTGTAATTACAAACATGATGTTTTTTCTTCTTTCCCCTAGAAACTGAGAATGAGCTCTGGGATCTGGCAGCACTCCCCCCTTGCAGACTTTCTGAACAATAAATGTTGATCAATGTATTTTTCTAATGTTAGTATGTTCAGGAACTGTGCTATGCATATTTTGCAGAAGGAGATCAGTATAAACCCCCAGGGGGAAAGAAATGTAGTTCCTACCAGGTCCCGATGACCACCCCGGGGCACATCACTGACAATGTATCCGCAGGTTGCACCACATAGCTACAATGGAATGAAACTCAATCCACTTTTCTGATGTTTATGTAGAAACTACTTTGTGTTTCAAATCCTCTTTGAATGCCTTAAATTCTGTTTTGATAGGCTAGACTTTCAGTGTAAGTTCACAGTCTGCTGTATTTTTTAGAGTAAACCGGTATAACGAGGCCAGAGAGGGTTCAAACCAAGCAGAAATATTGAGAAAAGTTAGAACTAAACAACCAGAGTTTTGTGAAAAAGAATATTTCCTTGTTCATCCATTGAAAACAACTTACAAAGCCTGAATGTGAAGAAAAAATAAGAAGCGACCCGAGCATCAAAATGAATCAAAGTTTGAAAACTTTTGGAATATGTCTTAGTTCCCTTCTCAATATGAAAAATGATCTTATCCTTAAACAATGTGTATAATATTTGTGCCTCATTCAAAAAGGTTGAGTAGGCCTAAATATAACATTTATTCTGTATTCTGGTAGTAGTTGTGGTAAAATGAGAAGATACAGAACAAAACATTTTATCTTGTCTCATGCTATTTCCAGGCTCAAAATGCGAAGAGGAGCTTGTGGGTTTATAAATAGGCCTAGAGAATTATGTTTTGGTCCTGGCTCAAAAAGCCATCATGACCCCTGTGACTGGGGCTGTAATAAAAATAGATGGGTTATAATTTAACACCATAGCAGGGCAGCGTTATAATGGCAGGCAATAAAATAGTCGTGCGCCCCCCTGTGACAAAAGACGAGAAGGCCACCGTTGAACGGCAGAGCGACGCAGCGCGGCAGGCAGCCCGCCACTCGCGATAACTCGCGTTTGGTCAGCAGCAGCAGGGCGGAAAAGGCGGGAGAAGACTGCCGCTTCCGCGTCCGCGCAGCACGGGCAGAAGAGCACTGGGGCAAAATGGACGATAAGTTAATATTGGCTGTATTTAACTGCCCGGAGCTGTACAATGTCACTCTGCCGAATTACCGCTGCACAGAAAGTAGGGCAAATGCTTGGAGAAACATTGGTTTGATACTTGGTATTTCATGTAAGTGTTAATTTATTATTTTTTGCTTTACACAACTTTTACTATTATCTGCCTAACGGACGTTGGCGCGGAGTCCTAAACACACAGAAATGAGAAAACACTGAAGAGGAGTTTTACGTGTCTCTTGCTGCCAATTCCTTAACTTTAATTTTTTTTTTTTTTTTTTTTTAATATCCGCGCAAGCATATCATGGCGGTGAGGATGCAACCGCGCGTACCGTGCTAGCGGTAGCAGGCGCAGCTCGCAAGCCGTAGGCCGCGCTGCACCGAACGGCTCTGTGTATGCGCCGCCAGCCGCGTGACCAACACCGCACGGCCGGAGAAAGAAACATGCACAGTGAGGCTCAGTGTGGATCAGTGAGGCACAGCGAGGCTCAGCGTGGCACTGACTCGCTGTCTTCGCCGATCCGCGTGCTTTTGGTCTCGCTCATGAAACACCGCGAGCTCCGTGTACACAGAACGCTTCTCGAAGTCTCGTGAAAGCATCTGCGGCGGCATTAGCTGTGTTGGATAAAATGTGTGACACGGATAGAGGGGGGGCCCCCCCCCCACTCAAGCCTGACATTTTTATCATGTGAACGGTCTGATGGCGCGCCATGAAACATTTAGAAAAATATCCTTACAATGACCTCTGGACATCAGCATAAAGGCATCAAAATAAAGAAAATTACTTACAATCTATTAATTGTTCAACTTTCTGAAACTAAGCTTCAAACCTTGGTATATAGTTTATTTACTTATGTAGTGTTTTCTATGTTTTGATGTCCCGCTCATGCATTATGGACTCCCTGTCCACCTATAATTATGTACATATTTACTAATCAAATCCAATATGACTGATGTTCCAGAAACTTAAATGGAATGAGTTTAATGTTACATAAAGATAAGTCTGTAATGGCAGACCCCAATTTACATAATTTAAAGGATGTAATTCAAGATATGTTGGCGCTTTTAATGTAGTTTTAGGACAGTGGACAGAGTAGGAAATCAGGGAGAGAGAGTAGGGAATGACATGCACCACAGGTTAGTCTCGAACCCGGGCCGCCCGCCTGGACAACTTTCGCCCTTGCACATGGAGCGCGCACACCAACCACTGGTGCACCAGCGCCTCAAAGGATTTCTTTTAACTTCCCTATGTTCCGATTTCTCAAATGTGATGTGCTGCTTTTCATAGTCTTATTTAATAGTAAATCAAATATCATTGGGTTTTAGCCTGTTAAGACAAAATAGAAAAGAAAGTGAATTTTTTATTTAACCATAAATACCATGTTGTGAATGTTATTCTCAGCTCGTGTGGATCTACAGGTTGCAGATTGTGTAATCCTTTCATCCTTATTAATTCCCCTTCTTTCTGTATTCTGAATTGACAGCAGAAAATGTTCTGTATTATTATTTTACCTTCTTACACTGTGATATTTTTCTTTCCCAGCTGAGGACTGTAAAAGAAAATGGAAGAACATGAGAGACAGGTATCTGAAGGAAGTCAGAATGGAGAACAAAAGCAAGAAACAAGGAGAGGTCTTTCAAAGCAGATGGAAATACAGACAACTCATGAATTTTATTGCACCCTTCGCTGGATCAAGAAGCGGAAACCCAGATATCACGGGCAACAATGACGATGACCACGACAATCTTGACATGGAATCTAGCAGCCCGGGAGCAGAAACCACATCGTCAGAGGCAGTCAAGACGCGCAGACCCACGGGAAGTCTGTGAGTCAAGATATCAAGCCGCAGGTCGCGTTTGTGACACATAGTCCATCGATACATCAAGACTCACAGATTGCCCAGCTGGCTGTTATGACTAAGATGTCATCAGGCTCCTCCTTCATAAACAAAACAGGTCGAAAACGAGGCCTCATGCCAGACTCACACTCACTTAATTCTTCTCAATCATCCCCTACAAAGTGGCTGGTAAAAGACAATGGTGCGTCGTTCTCCAACAGGCCGCGCGACGAGGATGAACTGTTTCTGCTGAGCTTTGTACCCGCTCTGAAGCGTCTCGCTCCACAGAAAAGATGCGAGACAAAAATGAAGATCCAGCAAATAATGTATGAAGCAGAGTTTAACGTTACACATCCTGAACCGCGTGAGAAACAAGCAGAATCAGACACTCAGGAATAGTCCAAACGGACACTTTTTTCCATCTGTTTCTGATTTCTAGAAACATCTTTCACACAATATTCATGCCATGTTCTTTGTTTTTTATATCCTTTTTTTTCATGTGAAATAATGGAGTGAAGAAAGACTACATTTACTCTGTTTCTCAACAGAGCTGTCAGTAAATGTTTGAACACCACACTGATTTGGTGGGTCACTTGAGGCTTATTTGAAGAAAGAAATATTTATAGATTTACACATAAATAGGACAACACACAGGATCTGATTAACATCTGTATTTACATAGGTTCACATAGCGTCAATAGAGTGAATTCACACCACTGCTCATTTCTACTATGTAATAATATACAGTATTTGAGATTTTAATTACAGTAAAATACAGAAATTAAAGACTTTCTGGATTTGAAAGGAACACTTTCATAAATTAATCTTACAACTGTTAACATGCAAGAAATGTTTTGTTATTTTCTGTAAAATAAAAAGACAATTTATGACATTGTTTTGATTTGTGTGGTATTTCTTCTCAATTAGCAGATGAGATGCTTAATTTATAAAATCAAGCACAGCAGGATAAAACAAACAATAGAAACCAACTTAAGTTCATCAGTGAACAGAAAGATCTGGACGCTGCACATGCTAGTAATTCATTTTTACCATTAGGTCCTTTTCAGTGATTTATAAAAATATGCCTGAATGAAAAGCCGTTGAATTATTTCTTTTTACAGAAAATATCTTGACAGGTGAGCATAGTCAATTAAGAGGTTAATGGGGATCAAGCGGGGTACCAGTGTCCAGAAATAGGCTGGTATAAATGTCTTTATAAAATATGTGGGATTGACAGCATATAAAGGTAATAAGCACATAACAGTGTCTTACTGAATTTTGCAGAGTCTAATTTGAACACTAAGAAAAAACTACTCTGAATAATAAATGTGATGTGAAGTGGAAAGAATGCTGACCTCTTATGCTCTTTTGTTCTGACATGACAAACCAGTTGACCAGCTGTTTGCTGATGAGAATTTTGGTTAGTTGAATACAAAGGATGTGTAGATGAAACATTAGGCAACCAGGGTCATCTGGTTTGAAGAGTTGTTATTATTGGATTAGCAAAGGTAGCTTTATTTTTGAAAAAAAAAAAAAAAAACCTCTTCATTTATCTTCTCACATCTTTGTTGACAAAAGGACAGAAAAAAATAGTCAAAGAACAATTAATGGTGGAAGGCAGAATCCGATTGGTGCAGACCATGATGTGATGTCTTTTTTTTTTTTTTTTTTTTTAATTGCTCTTATGCAATCAGCAGCCAGAACATAATCACCAGAGCGACAAACAGGAAGAGTCGAGAGAGAAACTGTTCATCCATGTGCTGTGGTGTCCCAGGAGCTGCTGTTTGTGAAATTGTTAAACAGAATGTATTAATACATCGCAGATAAAAAAGAAAAAAAAAAACAAGGATTAATGGTGACATATCAAACATAAATACCTGGAGGAGGCCTTCCGTCATTGATGTTGAAAGCTGTAGCAAAAATACCAAACGGAAACGCGCCGATTCCAAACGACATTTGGAACCCTCCATCTCCAAAACCAAAGCCTTGAAATCCCTGTGAAACATCAGTTCATGAATGACTTGAGGATGTATTTGTATTCTCACGCCTGGACAAATATCAACTACATCTGAGGTACAGTTTGACATCCAGAGAGCGCGAGATGTGACGCAACAATCAGTGACATTTGTTATCATTCTCCAGAGATTAGTCTGCACCTCGGTGCTAATGGAGCCCGTTGGGAACTGTCTTTTTGTTCATGGATAAAGCACACATCATGACAGCAACTACATCATCCTTTGTACAGGTTTCATCATAACAGACATATAGTGACTCAATACACAGAAAAGTTATCATGTTAGGAATACTGGGGGAATAAATCAATCGGATACTTTGTCCTAACCATGCAAATGTATTTGTAAATAGTTCTACTTACACCACGGTTTTCTGGCTCAGGTCTTTGCCCCTGTGGTCGAGGAGGTGTTCTTTCTCTAAAAAAAACAAAATTTTGTTACAGCCAACTCTGCTTGCATCTGAAATGAGACTACAAATGTGTGTATTTTAAATGTAATCACAAACAGGGGTATTTAATGTTGCTCTAGAAAATATGAATGGACCGTATTCACCTCTGGAGAAACCAAGGTAGTGTTGTGATTAAATACCACATGACGTTTCAGTCAACTTACCTGTAGTAATGCGATAAAAAATAAAATAAATACCAACCTGGGGTCTTGTTGACCTGTGCTTCCCCGCCCGTATAAGGGGATAACTTTGTCCCGGCTGATGCCAGCTTTACACACCGGACACACTTGTCTGTTGGGTCTTGTCTCCAACCACTGTGTGCAGAGAGAGACATACTTAGGACCTGACATGTCTCCATCAGTTATCTTTGTGATAGTCATTCATAGTGTAGGTTAAGCTTACCTGATGCAAGCAAGGCCAACTTATGGGGAGGAGGCGCAAAGGACGATAAGAGAGAAGGAAGAGGTTTGATTAGTAAAGCTGATCAAAATGAGACATCCGAATATTGTGTGTTCACAAATGAAAACAATTCATCACTCAACAAGTGAAAGGTTGAAGTGAGTTAAGCTAGTACAGAGCATGGAACAACAAGTATAACGGCTCCCTGCTTTTGGATTTATCTTCTCATTTCAGAATGAACTACTACATCAGCACTGCTAGTGCCAACATTGATAAGAGACCAGAAGCTGAAGTCCTTCTGGCATTCATATGAAGGGGGAGACCTGGCTCCAGAGGTTGGAAAACTTTCAGTAGAACAGACAGAGATTATAAAAATCAATACATGTTTATCTTTATTTATTTTTTACACACACTTTTATCTTTAGACTACACATTTGTAGAAAAATATCTACAGTTTCTACAACAGAAATATCAAACATAATTTTTATAAAATAGATTTTTAGCTGATCTATTTTTTAATCTATTTTTTTGTACATTATTATTTTTTCTTTTTATAGTTTAAATTGTACTGTGTTCACTTTTTGTTTGCAATCTTTTGCTCTTTGCTGCTGTAACACTGTAAATTTCCCCGTTGTGGGATAAATAAAAGATTATCTTATCTTATTCTGGGAAGCATTTGTGTATATTTTGAAGGTAATGCCTAGAATTGTCTATATTTCAGACATGTATAAAAGGGGAAAAATATATAATAATAATAATAATAATAATAATAACTTTATTTATATAGCACCTTTTAAAAACACAGGTTTACAAAGTGCTTTGACAAACAGCAAGAACAAAGCAAACTAAACCAAACACAGAAGAACATAAACAACAGTAAGAATATAACAGATGCAAAATACTAAAAATAATTTTCAACAGAAAAGAACCCAAAGTGCACGATACACAACCATACATATATATATATATACACCAAACATACATACATACACACATACATTATATATATATATATATATATATATATCTACTTTGGAGACATGAATGTTGATCCTACGAAACAGACCAACATTATTTTTCAACTTTGCTGTTAGGAGTAGAATTAATAACAATACGTCAGACAAGTACTGGTTATTATTGTTTGTTTTCTGATATTGGCCAATAGGATTCGATAAAACAGGTCAGTAAGATTAGCTGGGTTATAATGCTCCACTGTAAACAAGAGTTATAAACAATAGTTCTTACCAGAAAAGGTGTCCACACAGACTGATAACTGCATCCTTGGCGGTGTCCAGACATATATTACACTCGAAAGTGCTGTCCTGGTTGCCGCTGTCGGGCGCAGACGAGCTACTGGATCCGGGATTTGGGTTGTCAGTGGCCGCAGTGGAGCCAGAGGCTGGAGCGGGAGCTGCGGTAGCCATTTAAAGATAGATCCGGTCAACAGGAGGGTTCAGGTGGGGTGACTCCGCGGGCACCCAGTGTTTCAAAGTACATAGGGAGGCCCAGTGGTTGGGGGGGTTTGTTTGTGACAAGGACGAGGGGAGGAGAGACTACGCCTTTCAGAAATAACTCTAAAAAAAAAAAGTTAAATCGTGTAAAATCGACTGGATGCTAACGAGCTAGCTCCCATGTAGATACAGTGACCAGCAGCTAACGTTAGCTACCGAGGAAGACAGGAGGAAACTGACAGTTTCACTATCTCACGGATTAAATCAGTGTTACAACAGATACTAAAATCGCACATCCAGACAGGAATGTTTTAAAATAAAATATCCAAACTTGTTGAGAGAAGTTGAGGGGGGGGATATCCTTACAACTGCTTGCGTCACACATCCGCTGCTGAACCTAACCCGGTAGTAGATCCTGGAAGGAGGCGTGGCTAATGGCTGTCCAGGGACGAAGCTCCTCCAATCATGAAGGCGTATGTGGTGACGTTTATAAGTCTCTTTTTCCGGCAACATAAGATATACATAACACGTCATACAGCAACTTTTGAAGGCCTACTTTTTGTTTTGTCTTTAATTAGCAGATATTGTTGTTTAGGTTTAATTTCATATTGTTTATTGTTTTTGTAATTGATTATTTATTTATCACCATATTCGAAATAAATATATAATTTAATCAATCAATCAATCAATCAATCAATCAATCAAGTTAAGACAGTGAACATTTTAGAAAGCAGCACTTCTGTATACCAGGTGATTCAAGCCATCCAATAATCATTGACTTTTTGATTTCATCACCTCCAGAAAATGTTTTCTTCGCTAAAATCTTCACTGTGTTGACAGCTTCCCACCGTTATCTCTTTCCTTTACAAGCTGCCATCTCCAACTAGAAACACAGTGAATGTGAGTGCACCAAACCCCAAGACAAAAACAACTATCTGATGTGGTCTATCACTGCTCATCTGGTTGTCCGTCTAGATACCAAAAATCGCCTCTAGAAACGCAGTGGGTGAGTCTTTTGTAGCCGCTGTCCTGGAGAATGCAGGTCGGTGACCAAGCACGGCGTCAAGCCGGTCGAACCACTTTCTGTTCCTCCAGTCGAAGCCACTGCGGTAGTTGTGGTCCTTAATTTTTTTGCTTTAGTTTTTTTAAATTCTACCAGACTTGCTTGCCGCTGTGGTTTCTGCTAATCTTTGCCAACCTTGAAGCCATTTTTCCAAATACTTTGTTGTTGCAGCTCGCCGTCTTCAACTCCTGCTGCATGTCATCTTCCGCATATGTGGTCAGCAAGGCCTGCATCTCGTTATCGGTCCACCAGTCATAAGCCTTCTTCTCTGAGTCCATCTCAAAACAAAACATGGCGGGTTCCCTAAAATGATACGATGGACTGACCAATCAGAGGCGTTCAGTGCTGCAGTTGCTGCAGGCACTACAGGCCCCTTAAGTCCCTCCTGAGGAAAGTATTATACCCCCTGAGATGGGTCTTTTTCCGGGCTAGATTATTTACCCCAGAACTAAATTTAGACCCTGGTTCCTTCGGTTGAAACTCACTAGTTCCTCAAGAGGCCCCTAGTTCAGGGGGTAAGTTCCTGCGGTTGAAAAGGGGCTTGAAAGAATCTTAGAAGCTCTTTAGAGTTGAGGGAAGTTGTGTGTAATTTTGAGCCACACTCTAAAGTTTATTTTCTTTTGAATCAGAAACTTTGGAGTGACCAAGTTTTTGCTGTCAAGGCCCCTGGGTTTTTGAATAGCCTTCCTCCCTCAGTCGGGTCAGCCCCCTCTGTGGAATCTTCTAAGTCCCGCCTCAAAACATTCATTTCTATCAAGTTTAACATTATTAACCTTTTTTATTATTCAATTGTTATTGTCTTTAGTACATGGTGTGTGTGTGTGTGTGTGTGTGTGTGGCATATACAGTATGTATGTGTGATTTTTCTGTGAGGTTATTATTTAAATGTTTCCATAATTATACTGTATTGCTCTTTTGTTTCGTGTTCAGCACTAAATGTGCTTTGCAAATACATTTGATCAGTTCATTGATATTGTATGTTTTTTTTCCATTTTTCAAAACAAAACATGAAAGTAAGAGCACATAGGCGATTCAAAGTTTTATTAAAAAAGCAAACACAGAAATAAAAAAAGAACCACATACCATTCAGCAGGGTAACTGTAAATCAAAGAGAAGTTTTCATTTCACAAACTTTGCAGGAGGAAGTTACAACATTGCAAACAATTGGCCAAAGCAAAGTTCATTTTATACACTCCAATAAAGATAACTCCCTTCAAAAGCACAATATATTTTAAAAGCTGAATATGATTCAAAATGTTTACCACTAGTACACGAGGCAATTTAGAGCAAGCTGATTTGAAAACATAATAAGACAAAAACACAAGAAATGAATTTACAGATATAATACATCTAAAGATTAAAATGTCTGAGATGTCAGTGAGAAAATCACTAACTGACCAACAAAGTCCTAAATAACATTGTGTAAAGCAATTTTTAAATTGTGTTAGAAATGCATGAGGCTTCATCATCATGATAAATAAATCATACATGTATTTACAGTAGGGTGCACCTGAGGTTGAACATGCAAAAACATTTGATTCTGTCAATAAAACAAATGTTTAGGATAATTTTTGACTCTGGCTTCGTGTTGTTTAATTCCTTCTTCCTATCTGCTTCCACCTGATCCTATCCTGAGCAACATGTTGAGCCTCGCCTCAAGTCAGTGGGTTCTTGTGCTTTATACCAATGGTTTAACTTGATTCTGGATCACATCCATTGTCTTTGACCTTGACCTTTCTGTGCGGAAATCCTCAGCCATGGCCTCCTCTATCCTTGATGTCAAAGAGCGTTTTAGAATTTGTTTAAAGTCGTTACCAATAAACACGTAGAGAACCGGGGAAATGAAGCTGTTTGCTGAAGCCAGCGTGGCCCCCACCTTCAGGCCAGTCTGAAGTACTTCCAGGCTTTGGTTGTTCAGGTCCAACTCTAAGAGAACGAAGCTATGATAGGGAACCCAACAGAAGAAAAACGACAGGATGAGGGCCGCCATGACTTTGTACGGCTTTGTTGACTTCTTGGTCAAACGACTCAGCTTAACACTGAGCACTGAGCAGCAGAACACCATCATCAGGAAGGGGATCAGGAACCCACAGATGAACCGGATTAGTACCACCGCCCTGTGTCTGGAGTGGCCCATGTAACCTGTGTAGCACTGCGTGACTGAACCGCTGACTGTGATCTGCCTAAAGATCAGTGAAGGCAGCGTCAGGAGGGCAGAAAGGAGCCACATGACCAGGACGACTCCAAATGCTCTCCGCACTGTCCGATGGTTATGTGACCACACGGGAAAGGAGATCATTAAACAGCGATCCATGCTGATCAAAACCAACAGGAACACACTGCTGTACATGTTGAGAAACAGGGCGGAAGAGGTGAGTTTACACAACACCAGTCCAAAAGGCCAGTGTGAGGTGATCATGTAGAAAACTTCAAGGGGCAAAAAGGCACAGAACAGAAAGTCTGAAATGGCCAAACTGATGTACCAAGTGGTGATGACAGTTCTCTTCATTTTCCATCCACAGATCCAGATCACTAGCGAATTTCCTCCAAGGCCAATAACAGATATAATGATATTTACCACTACCAGGACACGAGTCAAAGACTGCGATTGAGAACTGCTGAAGTTCACAAATGTGCTGGAGCTGTTATCAGTTTCATTGTCAGGAGTGTAATCGCCAAATTCGATATAATCCACATCCATGCTGGTGACTTTACCTGAAATGCGAAGCACAGAGTCTCTGTCTTTATAAACATCTACCCAAAGAAGACACGTAGCAATTAAACAGGTGAATGTATTTAAGTTTGTTTCAAGAAATGTACTCACGTTAAATCTTGATGTGGAGTCAATCCGTGTTGTGCCTTCTGTCCTGACTTCCTCCAGCCGGTCGCAACTTCTCACTTCTCTTTCCTGGGCAGAGTAGGTGACGAAAGTGACATTTTATCAGAATCGACCAGACATGTTAGAAATGAGAGTCTATATTCCTCTAGCTCCAGAAAGCATATTTTTCCTTTGTAAATGAAAGCCAATAAAGAGGTCTTTCAGAGAGGTTTATCAGATGCTTTTAAAATAGCTGTTTCAAGTCCTACAACAGCTTATATCTAAATGCTTATATCTATGTTGCAATCTCTAAAAGGAGATCCTCTTTGACGCCTGCATTTCCAAAAACCACAGACCCACATTTCTTAACCAAGGGTGTGACTAAAAGCCTTTTCACAGAATTGCAAAGTTTGCAATACTGTGAAACTATTCTGTCAAGATTGCAAGTTTGTAACCAATGGGTGACCTTCCTAAGAATATGTCCATGTTTAATACAGTATATGATGTGCAGTGTTTCCCCTACCATTATATTAGAAATATAATGCCCCCCCCACCCAGCAGCACCCCCCGGACCCCCTGAAGGTCAAGTAAAGAAAGTTGTAGGATTGTAAGATTTATTTTTGGACTTTTTGTGCCTTTATTGTAGAGCTAGGATAGTGGATAGAGTCGGAAATCAGGGAAAGAAGTCATTTAAGGATATCTTTCCGATAGAAAAGGACAGCTGTCATTAAAAGTAACACATGAACACCAAGATTCCTTCAAGTGTTTGTGTTGCCATGTTGCTGTGTCGCTGTGTCGGCTTGTCCCCCCCCAATGCTTTAAACCTAAGGGGAACACTGAGTGTGCAATGTTAAAAGTGTTCAGCATATGGTTGGTTCATCATGTTTATTATATAGAAGTGTCAAGAGCAAATGCATAAAGGGGAACTTAGGTGTAGCATGTTTGCATTGACATTAAATCAACATCACAAACCAGCAAACAGTGGTGCTGTTTGTTGTCTATGTTATCAGTTTGACAAAGGAGTCTGTGAACATGTTGATATGTTCAAAGGGGATAGAGGGCTCAAAAAAGCTCCAGCATACTTGTACCACAATTATAGTTAAAAGAACAACTTTATCAAGCCGATGCATTTCAGCTTGTGGCCTTCATCAGGTTGATTTTTTTCATCCTCTATATGCACCTTGGAAGTTTATGAAGTTGTGCCAGAAAACCCTAGTCTGCTTCTGGAGTGGATGGAGGGTCATTTGTAATACGATAATTAAGGCATACTATTTAAACCAATGCCTGCTTAAGTGAAATATCAAATACATGATGCCCTAAGTCAAATTCTGCTTATTTATGAACCATTTCATATTACACAATCAAGGGGCAATGTTGTTGGAAGTAGTCACGGTTCCCTAAAAATCACATGATGCAGTTGTGTAACAGATAAAAAGCTGAGTGTGGGGCTGGTGGTGCAGTGGTTAGAGCGTGCACCCCATGTATGGAGGCTGTAGTCCTCCAAGCGAGCAGCCCAGTAGCAAATCCGACCTGTGGCTCCTTTC